ATTTTTATTGTAATCTTTTGTTAAAAGCATATTGATCCGTGATTAATAAATTATCTAGCGATAATCAAACCATTTTAACAAACTAATTTCAATTTCATAATAAGATTACAAATATGGTGATATCACTACATACAGTAGTTAATTATAGTTTTTATACTTCTATTTAGTTATTGAGATAAAAAGATTATTTAAAAGAAATTTTTAAAAAAATCTTACATAGAAAAGAAATTTAGGAAGAGAATTTTTTCCCTATATTTATGGACAAGATAATATGTTGCTAAAATAGTTATATTATATTAATTTTTAATACTTAATATATAATATATTTATTAATTAAATAATGATTAGAAATTTATTTTGAAAATTAAATCTTGACCATTTATTTTAACTTATATCATGTCACTAATTCATATAAGAATCTGAGAAAAATAGAGAGAAGAGAAATGAAGAAAAGCCGAATCACGCTGAATTGAGGTGATTAAACGAAAAAAATCCAATACAATTAAGGAGACATGATGAATAGCCAATTTTTTGAAATACTACACGCGCTCACTAAGAGGGGAACATACACTCTCCAATCTCCATGTTGGTAAATTAGAATGTGCCTAATCGGTAACTCTTGGAAGTGTCAAACACTACTACAAGGGTAAATGAAAACGTCCGAAACATTTAAGGGCCACGTTTATTTTATGTTATCCTCAACCACTTTTAATTATTTTTAATATATTTTTTATTATCATATTACTATATAAAAATAATTATATAATTTTTAAATATTTAAATTTTTTTTATTTAAAACATCAAATTAATAGAATTTAATTTAATTTTAAAAATAAATTAAATTAACCTTTAAAAATTACAACGTGACAAATAAAAATAGAGAGAACGAGTATTACTCAGTTATATTGGCCTGACATATCTTTTAAGAATAATAAAAGCATATTTTTTCTAATTTAATTTTATTAATAATATTTAAGAACTCTAAGTTTGATTACTAGTAGTATTATAGGGCAAAGGTAATAACAAAAGACATGTGACATGAAATACCCCCTCTCTCGTGCTTATGTTCCTAACAAGGTGGAAAATTCATTTAATTGGAGGGTCTTCACTTACATGGCCCATTTATATACTATATTATTTTTTTAATCATACACAAATTCTAATTCTCGCAAGACAATAAGGTCATCTTTTTATTTTCGGTATTCATGTTGAAGTTTTCTAATTAAATTTAGAACAAAGTTTCATATTAGAGGATAAAATATTTATTAATAAAAGTGAGTATCATATTTGGAAAGACTCAAACCTCTAATAATGAATCAATGAATATTAATCACTATATCACAATCTTTTGTTGATGGGTCACTCTTCATTCCTAAATAATTTCGTTTGAATACATCAGCCAACCTGACTAGTTTTTTCGCAATTTCTCTTACTAGCTAATGAAATTAGCAACATCACATCATATATAATATTGATTGTCCTACAATTAGGTCTATAATATAATTATTGAGGATCTCATTATTTATGTGAGCACAATTTTAATATTTGAGAAATTAGTCACCAAAAATTTTTCTATTTTAAAAGATCTTTAGTTTCTAGTTTTTTTATTTTATAATGACAAAATAGATCAAGGAGACACTTAACCATAATTAAATCACATTTTTTTTATGTTGAAACAATAAAAAACTTCATTTAGTAACCATTGTTGTATTTCGAAATCTAAATTCTAATTATTGCATGGAAATGATTTTTACTTATTATTTTTTTGTCCGTCATCAAAACAAATAGTCATAGTTATTGGATTCTAAATTTCAAATGAAGATTTTCTTGGAATTAAGAATTTATATAATACCTATATTTCAATTATAAAAACTAAAAATTAACTATTTGTGAGTTTTACCGCTTTGCTCAGTAATGAGCCCATGAGGTCACCATCAATAGTTATATATACAGTGCTACTATTGGTACATTCTTCATACAACATATTTACCGGTTATTGACACTTATCCGCTTATTTGTGGTGATTTTTAACTTATGTCTTTTAGATATAATAAAATAAAAAGTATGGTATATAAATACATATTTTTTTATCATAATATTTTTAAATTATGCTAGCTTGACGTCTATTTCTAAAGAATACATATTGGACTAGGCCTAAGTTCAATGTTTAAAGAATATAAATTAAAATCAGACTGTTTTAAGGACAATTTGTGCAATTTCAACCATACTTACTTTTTCCACTTCAAAAAAACAGTATTTGTTTTTAATTCCCTTGAAAACCTTACTAATGTAAAAGACCTTATATTTAAAAGGTAAAAATAATGAGTTTATTTAGCAGCCATCACATTTTGAAAAGAGTTTTGACTTCTTTATATTATTAACAGGCTGAGCGAAATTAATGCCGCAAAGGTTCATTTGAATTGCTTTCGCAATAAATAAAATATATTTATAAATAAATGTTGAATCACTTTATTTTTTCAATAATTTATTTTATAATATATTAAGAAAAAAAAATCTGATTCCGCTAATGGTTATCTAGAAATGGAGATAACATACGAAAACGTGTTTAAGTATACTAATATGAGCATGTATAATAAGCAAAATAATGATAAAATCCTCTACGTGATTATGTCCCTAATAAGGAGGAAACCCGTTAGTTTTAGAGTTAATTGTTTTGTTCAATTCGGTATTGACAGTGATACCCAAATTCTTAATCATGCCTAATGTTTGGACGGCCATGGGGTCATCCTTACATCCTAATCTTCCTACTTAATCTCTTTTTGTCAGATTCTTTGTATTAATCATGTTTAGATGCTTCACATATTGACACATTACAAAAAAAATTTGGTCCTTATGTTGACATTTACTGCTTGTTTAAAATTTCTTTATTACAACAACAAAGATAAAAGGGATGCTATAAAATTTTGATGAAATTCTCAATGTTAATTTAATATTACCCTTCTTCAACAAAACCTATAATAAAATCATGAGCAGCGACATTAGTAGTACTACAACTTGTTCTCAGTGATAGAGCTAGATCTTTAAAAACGATTTGATAAAATTTAATAATTTCGGTCAAATCCAAATTTTAAATTAAACAATTCACTTATACATCCATCTATATATAATTGATTCAGAACTTAATGAGATATCAGAACCCAAATAACTCTAAATATAATTATATATCCATCAAACGTACAAATCTTGGAAGTTCGGTGAATCACATGCGAGTCACATGATCCCTTCAAAACAGTTATGAAAGGAGTGTAGGAAGGTGCGGTGTGAGTGTGAAGTAGGTCGTCCACATATATAGTATGGTGTTTCGTACTTAATTAGTACTAAAATAATAAAACACAATCTTGAGGTGTTTAATTCATCAGATATTCATGTTTATAAAACAAAGGATATTTTAGTAATATTTTAATCTTAACTTGTCATATAATATTCTTCTTTTTAATTTTTTTGTACTTATATATTTGGGAAAAAGTTTGAGAGTCCTTGGATCATTAATTGAAAAACATGCTATGTCTGTTGTAAAGAAAGAAACACAATCACAGCCATGACATTCGTAATGATGTGGCACGCATGGCCCCTTCTCAATTGCATAATATAATTTCTTTTCGCCGAGCAGATTCAGAATTCTCATTAATACATTTAGAACATAAAGAAGTAAACGCAAAAAAAAATCATATCATCAATTATATTTTTAATCTTATATATATCGTGTAATTTCAAGTCGAAGGGGTACGATCACGTGACTCAGCTCCTTCTCTTTCCCCATTCTTGGCGGGGCAAATTTTAAACATTGGGTTGCTTTGACTGAAATTAGCACCAAATATGGATCACTGTATGAATGTCACGACTTTATAATTTCCTTAGTACAACAGTAGTCACCCAATTACTGCCATGACATCCGTGAGTTTTACTTTTTGGGTAAAAACTAAAGTCATTTTTATTTATCTTTTTCTTGGTGGTTAGATATATAATATATATGTGATTGTGTGGTGACCGTTGAGCAGGTTTATATAAACAGGAAATCAATGTCTCAATGTATAGTACTTTTAGCGGTTGAAGTCGAAAGTGACTTTTAACTGTTGATGTGTCTTTCGAATTTATGACATTTAAGTAAAACTAAAGTTATTATCCATCTTTATTGGTAGTTAGATATATGTGTTGACTGTTGAGTATATTAGTTATATACAATAGGAAATTTATGTCTTAATGTACGTAACAATATTTGTACTATTAGCGGTTGAACTCAAAAAGGGACTTTTATTGTGACACAAAAATGGATGAAAGTCGTAGAAGAGCGGGTTTATGAATTTAATTATTGATGCGTTTTTTTTTACTTTAAAAGGCTTAAAGGAGACAAATCTATGTGACTCTAAAGATTAAACCAGAGCGAACAATACATTCATTGTTGATTCAAACTTTTTTCATTATATTTGAATTGAACTATATTATATCATAAGTTTTTAGTTACTAGTGAGCAATATATACTTGAACTAAATTCGTTTTGATTATGGCAACAAAAGATAAGTAATGATTAAATAAAATGATAGTCTATAGCTTGTAAGCTAAAATCCTAGATTTTTTTTTTTATTAATATGAAGTTTAATAAGAGAGAGTTTGGTGGAAGAGTGGAGATGTGTGGAAATGATCACATGATATTGTATATTGAGACATGCACATGAAAGGCCCACCTTGTTAGTACAATAACAAACACATTTCTTTAAGCCCACTTGAGATCAAACCCCATTTGGAAACAAACAAACACAAAAATTTTAAACTTAGTTATGGCCTCCCCACCCCCCAAACATGACTAACTAGTAGTGAGTTACCATTACCTCTTAACAAAAATTAAAAAAAAAAAGGTTTTACTGTGTGTTTCTTCAATGCAATTGTCTTCTTCAATCCAACATCACTTTCTATGTTTTCTCTCTCTTTCTTTAGTGGTCCTTCCCCTTCTTTAAAGCTAGTTCGTTATCTCTTCTCTTCTTACTCTCTCTTTTTCTAACTACCTTACCACAACTTCCTCTCCTTACCAAGTTTCATACACAAAAAGAAAAAAAAATCTTCTTTCTTTTTCCTTATCCACATGTGTGTAACAAATTAAATAAAAGAAAACTACGATCGATTTAGCTACAACAGAGCCATATTTATAACGAAAGAACGAAAAGAGAGACATTTTTTTTTGTTGAATTTAAGGATGTCGAGCAGAAGGTCGAGGCAATCATCAACAGGATCCTCGAGAATTTCAGATGATCAGATAATTGAACTTGTTTCAAAATTGCAACAACTTCTACCGGAGATTCGCAATCGTCGCTCTAGCAAGGTTTTTAAATTACTACTCTTTTTTTTTTTAATGCATGTTCATAATATACATGCAGCAGCATTTGATTTTTTATTTTTTTAGTACATTGAATTAAGTTGAAATTAATAGTGTAACAGTTACAACTTAGAAAATTAATAGTGTAACAGTATAACTAGGCAAAGTGACGTTATATGTGTGGAGCTCTACGCATCTCTTGTCTGTGTTAGTCACATTAATTATAGTATTATTCATGAAGGAACATATTTCGCCTGTTATATTCAAGCATTTATTTTATGTCTCTTTTTAGACTCTAAGGTCCATTTCACATATATCCTAATTTGTCTTCCCATAAAAAAAAAAGATATTTTTTTCTACTAAGAAGCAAGGATGTAGCAAACACTTCTTACATATAAGTAGATTTTAATTTTATGCAGTTTAAAAACATAATATGAACCATGCAAAATTAACTTGAGGATAGGAAATAAGAAATGTCTCTCTTTATTACATTTTTAAATTTTCTTGGAAAAGATAATAAGTTTAATTTGGCGTACAAAAGGAGAATATTATGATTTGAATAATTTGTTATGACCATGCCTAGGACCATGCTTTGGGGTCCCAACTCCCAAAAAATACAGAGCCAAATTGAGATTTTGTAGGTCAATGACTTGAACACAGTCAAAGATTTGCAATGCATCATTGCACAAATTAAGGCATGTCTAGTACTAGTCTAAATAAATTATCACGTAACACAACATGTTGACTCTAGAATTTAGGAGTAAAAAGTGTTGGTGCTTTAATTTAGGAGATGATTAATCAATATAAAAAGGATTGTTAATCACAAAACATCTCGTGTTAGCAATTTAGGGAAGAGTGCATCCAAATAGTGTGATGTAAACAAGTCGATCCTAATAAAAAGTGATAGTGCTTTATTTAAGAAGTTGATAAATAAAAAAGATAGTTTGGCACACAAAACATATTGTGATAATAGAGTCTGAGGATGCGATGTAGCTAGATAGTCTACTCTTATATAAGTATTTATGCTTGTTTTCATTGCTCGAACATATATCCTATAAGTCATACAAAATTAAATCAATTTTATTGTTGCTCTCGGATTCCCTTTTGAGATGATTAATTAGTACTTAATTTTTTTTCTCATATATTTTGTTCACATGAATGCAGGCATCGGCATCGAAAGTACTTCAAGAAACATGCAACTACATAAGAAATTTGAATAGACAAGTGGATGATCTTAGTGATCGACTTTCTCAGTTACTCTCAACTATTGATGCTGATAGTCCAGAAGCAGCAATCATCAGGAGTTTATTAATGTAGTAACTATATATATACTCCTATGAATTAATTAAATTAATGTATTTTCATTTCTAAATATTTCAGCTATATTTATATATAAATCTTACTACCAAGATCTTGATTTTCTGGTTGTTGTTAAGCTCTAGTAGACTCAGCTGGTCACTATAGCCAGGCCAATCATGAGTTATAATTTAATTAGAACTCAACTATATATTAGTACCAATGTGATCCTCCCCTAGCTAAGGGCACACGTACGCTTGGAATTATATTTCCCTTACTTATATATAATTATAATTAATTAATAAGATCGACTTTAGTGCTTTAAAATACCTTCTCTATTAGTACTTAGATATTGTATTTAATCCACATTGAAGCAAGAAACTAATGACATGTGAGATTAAATAAGATATTACTACCTAATAAGGACAAACTAGGAGCACTTATTAACATGGTGATTAATTTAAACGAAATATAAAGTCATATAAAATCTAATTAGCAAATTAAAAGAGGAAAAAGAATAAGGCAATGATCATTTTTGGTTGGTGAATCGAATAAGTTGAGGGTCAATGTTGGCCTGAAAGTTATCAATCACCTGAAGCACCGCTCCGATGCAAGAAAATAATGCTCTCTCAGTTTTAATTTTGATTGTTTAATTTTGACTTGATAAGTTTAAAAAAATAGTGAAGAATTTTGAAATTTTTTTTATTTTAAATTGAAGATATGTAAAATATATTAAAATTTCTTTTAAATTCGTTGTCTTAAATATTAATGTGAAAATTTAAAATTAAAGAAATATTGACAAAGACATTTTAAATTTTTTTTGATGATTTTAGCTTGTGGTGTTTCGTAATTAAGGACGAGAAAAGTTTAGGAAAAAATAGCATAAATTAAAAATAAAAGTAAGATAAATAAACTAAAACTGGTCTCAACACTCCAGATTAGCACATATAGAAATGATAAGAAAAAATGAGTTAGTTTAGTGGTCAAAGTACCTTGCATTATTATATCAGAATTTGAACAAAAACATCATTTTAAGAGATGCGACATAAATAATTTACATACTATATGATACTAATATTTATTTTCACAACTCAAATATATAACTTATAAATAACGCAACGATAGAGTTACCATTGCTTCAAAGTTCTCTTTAATATAATAAAAAATGCAGACTAACAAAGAAAGTAAACAACGGACAAGTGAATTGCAGTCTATCAGGTGGCATCACCTTTGACAATGAATAGTAAAACCTGATTAAAATATTGCTAAATCATCTGTTGGTTATCAATTTAAAAAATAAAAAAAGACTTTCAAAATTTATAATCTTAAATATATTTGTATGAATATAAGATTTTTGAGCATCCAAAAACAAAATCTTAAAGCTATGGTGGAAGTAGTCCGGGACCATTTAAATTTCTTTGAAAAACTTTATACAACCTGCTGAGGGACAAATGTTTTAATATCCTCACGTATGTACGTGTCGATCTTTTATTTTTTATCTTAGAAAACTGAGATATAAATTACCATAATATATAAGTATATATGTTCTGAATATACATTCTACTTTAACACCTTTAAATATGGATAATGTTCAAAGCAAACATATGATTGAATGGGCAGTAATTCAAAATTTCAGAAAAAAATCACAATAGTAGAACGATGCAACTAAAAAAGAAAATTAAGAACGTTCAATGCAGTAGGCCAAAACAAGGGGAAAAATTCTCAATACCAAATTACTAATGGACAAGACAAAGTTAAATTTAGCGGGTTATGATTAATTTCTTCCTTCTTTATCTTGCTCAGTTATTTATTTTATAATTTTCCTCCTTTTTCTCAAACAACCTACTTTGAACCTCGTTTATAGAGATGCTGGCTCCGCCATTAATATGAGGTCGTATGATACTTCCTCGAAGGCGAAATTGATAGTGGTGAGGGATGGATTTTTGCAGCGGTGGTATTTACATGGTGGCTAACGGCTAGGGATGACAATAGGGTGAGCTGATGCGGGACAGATGGATTTAAAGCTATGCCATTTTAAAACTAATGTGGAGACTAGCGGGCTAAAATAGAAAAAATTATTATAAAGAGGGACATAACAAATTAAAAATTTAGCAAGTTATGCTCAATCTGTATCGCTCAATTGCCATCCCTAGGTAACGGATGGAATTAATAGTGGTCGTAGTTAAAGCAATTAGTAAGAGACGATGCAATTGGTTGTCGTGGATATGTGAAATGTTATTTTGTGAATTCTTTGTATAATTTATTTTCGCAGAGGTAAGTTAGACTTTGTGTAAATTAGAAGATCAATTATTTAAGTCCATCATGCCTAAATTACATAAATTTCATAGTTTTAATATGATATTACAATCTATCTCTAATAATTTCTAATTATATTAATCCTTTAAAGATTAAAAAAATAAATATAATAATTAAAATTCGGATGCATTAAATAATGTCTTGAATACATTAATATACAGTTCGAATATATTAAAAATTAGCTCGAATACATAATATGTAGCTCAAATAAATTAAATATTGGCTCAGATATATTAAAATTAACTCAAATAATGATCTAGAAATTAATGGCACGGTGAGAGGTGACGGCGATATACATGAAAAAAGGAAAACTCCGTCAAAATTAGACTATTTTGTATAGTTCAAAAACTAATTTACCTAGCTTTATCGTTTGAGAATGATGACTCGTTTTAAAAACGTTATAGTAAAAGGATGAAAGGAAGGGTGTCATAAGATAACATCAGCATGAAACATTGTAGGAGAATCAAGTATGTATGATTGGAATAGGAATAAGAGGTGTCAATAAATGGGTAAAGCATGAAGATAGCGATAATATAATAATAATATATTGAATCGACAATTTTGCAGTTTGCGTCCTTAACGAGAAGAGAAAAAGACATTTGCTCTGTGTCTATGTCTTAATCAAATATAAAATACATAACGATGAGCCTAGCCATACTAATATATTATATTATCATTGACGATGACTCTGATATTCCTCAATATCTAATGGGCACCACACCAAATCATACTCACCTTTTTATTTTCATATTTAGTACTATTGAAAACGAATTTATGGTGCAACATCAATATACATGTCTTTTCAATCATTTTTTTTTCCCTTCACAATAATTGTATTCAATGGTCTCTACTATTTAGAAATTTATTCTATTGGATCATGCTACTTTAAAAACATTTCACGTTAATTATGTTCTAAATCTTTCCTTTTTTTCTGGAAGAATACTGTTCTAATTTTGTCTTGGTTATAATACCTTATTCTTAATGTATGCAAAGAGTGTCTATAGACGAGCTTTAATTACTAATTAAATAATTCAACAACTTAAAAATATAAGGTTTCAGAACTTACGAAATTATAATTTTCCGACTCCACTCGAGCGATCGGAGCTTATGGTGTTTTTTTTTTTGGTGTGATGTTTACAATTATGATCCATCGTCATATTGACGAATAATCCCAAATTGCATCAGTACCTGAGTAATGGGCCGAAGGCAGTGTCGATTCTGTAGAAGCCCGCTATTAATATTTGGGCCTAGTTCCAATTTGTATAAAGCCCAATAAATCAATTAAATTGCGAATGGGCTTAATAGACCTAGAACCAAATAGTTTCTCACTTTCAGCCCAATCTCCTTTTCGTTTTGGTTAATTGTCAAAAAAAAAGTGTCTATTATGAGTTCGATTGAAACTAGGGTTGTGCCTTCGATTTTTTAGTTCGATTTTATAATATTCGATTTGGATTTTTGATTTTTGGTTTTGAAGAAATGTAACCAATCCAAACCAAAATAAATTTGGTTTTTTTCGATTTGGGTAATCGGTTATTTCAATATATATATATATATATATATATATATATATATATATATATATATATATATATATATATATATATATATATA